AACTGACGGCGGGCATGCAAAATATTTTTCTTGTTAGCTGTAAAGCGGTGTTCACCGTGGACAACAAACGTAACCGGTCGTGCCAAGGAAAGTCGACCTAAGTATTTATGTTTAACTTCATCTTAACTTTTTGTACAGTGATGAAGCAGAGTAAAAATGTGCTTCCAAAGAGCAAGTTCACTAGCCTTTATCACATTCTTTTCCATATTGTGTTTTATTTCGACATTCACATGTGATGCTTCTCTTGTCTAGACAGTCGTCTGCGCAGAATTCGTCCCACTCACACGCACTGTAGTATGGACACACGCCGTGTAAGTCCGCCTAGAAAGATAAAAATGATAGGTCTTCCCAGAAAAGTTTACGCAATAAACAAACATTTTAGAAAAAATTTTGATCAGATAGATTGGTTGATTAATTGTTTTGCAAATAGCTCCGTAAAAATAACATTACCGATGTTTAATACATATTTTGTATGAGATGTACTTCCATACCGTACGCATGTTTTTTGGTTTTTGTATTTTTTATATAAAAATTGATTCATTGGTTTCGACTTCGATTATAATTATAACAAACAAGAATTCAAAATACCATATTTTTCGAATTCAAAAGAATTATTTTCGAATCCAAAGTAGGTTAAATGGACACAAACTCACGTGATTTAACAAATAAAAGCCTCAGAAGAGGAAACCACTACCCTCTACCAGGGCGACAGATTGATTTTAACAAGATATTCACAGATATGTCTCCAGATAAATAGACAGTCATTTGGCTCTCTGGCTTTTTCAAGATTTCCCTGTAATATCTGCCACCCTGGTAGAGGGTAGGAAACCAGTGGTTTGAAATTGTGCCTTGGTTCATTCTGCGTTTTATCTGATGCAGGTCACTGCCTATTTGTTTTCCAATATCTGTCAATGTTGATCGATAAATTGACACCCTGGCCATGGTTATTTGTGGAGAGAAGTTAAAACATGCTTTCCTGACATAACACAACTCTATATCAGACATTGCTTACAGTTGTCGATAAAAACGATAATTGCAAACGCTTGATGTGGTTCAAATAGGGGTGAAGAAAGTACTTTTCCTTGCGAAATAACGCACATCTCTCCAGTTTGATGGATTCTAAATAATCATAATCTGGATATTGAAGTTCGATATCACTACTTTACACAGGCGTAGGATCCAGGTGAGCTGGGGGAGTGGTTAAAAAATGACTGAAATATTACATATAAATATTATATCAAGACCTGTCATCAGTTATCAACAACTGTCTGCCTTCAAGTGCATAATATTTGTCGTTACCCCTGCTCTCCTTGTCAGACAGTGTTTTCTAAACAGTTATACCCCTCCCCTCCACCTCAACCACCGCTAACATACACAAACACGCTTATAAGTTGCTGCCGGCTTCAGTAATGTGGTTGATAAGTCGTGTACATGTATTAACCTGAACTACTCTTACCTGAATCAGTTTCTACTTTTATCACAGTTAACTTGACCTGTTGTGTAATTTTTTAATCGCATCAAACACAACGGTAGTTATATAAATACATCAAAATATTGGCATGATAGTTCAAAGTATCTCTGTTTTGTTTCTCAGCTAGCCTAATAACAGTCTGATTTCTTATGGTTCATCCTGCAAACTGTTCTGATCTGTTTCTGATTTTTTAGCATTGGAACTTTAGCGTAATAAAAGAACGGGTAGGACCATCTCCGCACTATAACCAAGAAAATGGAGAAATAACTCAATTTATCGAGCGAGAAAATAAGCGAAATATTAATTGAGCGAAAAATTGCTGGTGAGGCTGTAAAGAAATTATTAGAGAGTGATTGCTCAAAAAAAAAAAAAAAAAGGTTCAAGATAGATAACTTCAAAATTGATTTTACTATTAATGTAATTTCTAATATTAATCTATCGTCTTTAAAATAATTGTTTATTACCTTCTATAAAATCAGTTCTTTAGTTAAAAAGGTTTGACATATTTAACACCGATTGAATACATTTCAACGGTATAACAACACGTGTGAGAATTCTTAGTAGGCAGTAATACGAATATCTAAAATGAATTTACTAAAAAGCCTTAAAACAAACGAAGATTACGTTTGATTACAATATTGTAACACTGTCGTACCATGTCGACAGTATTTAATTGAAGTACATTAATTAATTAAATAATTGGGCAAAATAAACATTGAACTTCGAATTCATGATTGTTGTCGCCTTATGGTTCTTCTCACACTCAGTGTACTTAAGGGATACAGTCTGTTCTGGTTCATTTTGACGGGTCCTTTCATGTAAATGATCTCCAAGGGTTTTTCCTTCCTTTCACAAGTTTCCCATAAGTTTGTTCCCTGGTCTCGAGCGCAGGGGGGGGGGGGGTCCGTTTCGGTGAAACACCTACGTTAATAGTTTGAAAATCTTTAAAATTAATTAAATGTGGTCAACCTCTCAAAGTGAACCGGTACAGACAAAATTTCTTATCTATACTGTTCTACATGTATGTGAAAAGGGCCATTGACGGGATTCAGTTTGTCTGGAACGAAATCTCAAATTCAACCTGCAAACGCGTTTGAATGCTTTTCTTTTTTTATTTATGAAAAGGTGAGGCAAATGATTGGCATTAAGAGGAAAGTATCAGAAATGTTATAAAAATCCGTTTTATCATAATATGTCATTTATCTTCCACGGCTTTCAAACAGTATAAAATATAATAAAACAGACAAACTGCTACATATCTCATTGTTGCTAAAACGTATGAAGAATCGTCACCTGATTTTCCAAGATTGTTCCATTGACTGCAAAATGTCCCGGCTGTAAAGTGGTGGTTACTGAAGACGGATCTAGCGTAGCCGGGGCGTACAGCGTACAGTTCCCAGTATCGTCCTCGTATGTGTAGTAACGACAGTTTTGCAACTGGGAGCATTTAAAGCTGCAGATGCCCTGCTTCAAGGTATGCGTGCTGTCCAGGTAGTATACCTCCGATGTGGAATATTTTCTGCTAAAACTAGAAAAGATCGTGTTTTGTGACTTGCAAACTTCGTCATTTTTCGTCGCTTCTGTATTCACAATTAATAAAAAGAATCCCAGGAAAAACAAGACCTTGGAGAAAAGCATGTTGGCGGAGGCAAGGTCCCTAGTTATCAGAAGCCAGTGTGAGACAGTCATCTTCCAACTGGAATTAATTTCATGCATCATTGATAGCTCACTTCATTTCAATATTTGAAATGTCACAAATCGAGTTCGATTACGTAATGTGGATATAATATCGGTTTTATTGGGTAGGGGTTATTAGGGCACAAGTACTTTGAACCATGCCCAATACGGACAAGCCCCATTACGAAACATCGATTGAAATTTTCCACGTTGTTGGTAAACTCTTCTTGTACGTCATTCCTTGTTCTAATATTGTCAATGCACACGTTTGACTGATACATAATAATCTTTATGGTTACATCTCACAAGATAGTTGGCAGTCAAAACTGCTACCAAAACACTTGTTAATATATATTAGTTTATTATCAATTTTTATTAGTACTAGTTAAGTATAGGTAATAGATAAGTTATCTTTGATAACAATATGCGTGCGTAGAGGAATGGGACATTGAAATGAATGAATTTGCTTATTTTAGGATAACAAACCATGTCAGAGCGTAATAAGCGCAAAAAAACAAAACAAAAAAAAAAAAAAACAAAAAAAAACACGACGATTTCCCCATACTTGCCAATGGTTAATGAATGCATTCCTACATCCAAAGTAACTCCCTGTTTTTTTCCCCTAAATTTTTTGAAATAATCTCATAGAGATTATTGCGGAGGTATAGCCATCTATGAAGGTTCACGTGGTCTAATGGCAAGCACATATTCCAGAATAATTGCGATAACCGCCGTTTTGGTGCTATAATAGAATTTATTATAATTCTGTGAGTTGTTTACAATGTGTTTTTCGTTTAATATGAATTTCATATGAATAATTGTTATCCCTTCAATGTTGGCTGCAGCAGTGCATATTGCCACAATGATAGTGCGCAAATTGTAGGCTACGCTCTGCGATCACCGAAAACCCAACTAACGCAATGCAAGGAGCAAGAAAAAATGTGGATCAATCTCGACGCAGCTTTTTTCTGTGTATTATTTCACAATGTCACTGCTGTGCGGGGATAAACCGCAACCATACTAAACCTTAACAAATTCGACAATCAATTTTTGAAGACATGGTTCGTCCTCAATAATTTTCATTACAGGACAATGTATTTCTGTAATCCTACAGTCACTCACCTCCAGATTGCTTACATGCTTAGGACTAGGCCAACTACATATTTATATGCACTTGACAAGTAAGTTTTTGTTTTTAATTTTTATAAATGCCTAAGGTATGAATTACAAATATATTAAGTTTTAAACAAAGGGGCCATCAACGCTGTTGATTTATGATTTTAGAGGAAAATGGACTGGTGACTACTGAATATGGTGTTTCCTTGAACTACATTGACACGAACATCTAGTTCGCATAACAATCAAAGACTAATTATATCCTGGCATGGTATTTCATGTGATGCCAGTACATATTAACCCAAGGATTGAGAATATTGGATTTTGTTATGCTTGGTAACGCGCAGAAGGTGATAAGATTTCACCGCAACTTTTAAAAATCTCAAGTGCGCTTTTTAAAAAGAATTAAAATTCTGTCTTTGCTCCCTGGTGGCAAACACACATTTAATTCAACATGAAAGTTGGAACACTGCGCAAGAATATGTCATTTGATCCAGGTTCGAGAGGAAATGTTTTCTTTTTATATACCTTAGCCGAGGAGAGGGTTTAAAAATAGAAACGTAAGGATGGCCATTTGTGTATATATCTCAATTGACGTCAACTGGCACGTGATTAATTTTGACCAATCGCATGCAAACACATTACTATCCGCGTGTCTGATGCGGGGAAGTCCACGTCTTACTGGAGAGGTAAGGGTTATATTTATCATAATTTGTTTTACCTAAATATCTTAAAACGCCAAGTATCATAAAAACAAAATTGCTTATGTAAAATTCAGACTATATGGGATGTTATTATGCAAAGCATATGATATTTCTGAAGCAAGCAACTGAATTTATATAATTAACTTGCACCCCTACAGCTGGTCGGCGTGTGATAGCAAGCATACTCTCTCTCTCTCTCTCTGGAAACAGGTTGTGGGAAATCAGGCTGGAAATCCTCCGTTTCTAGCTTTGATTTTCAATCTCAATTATTTTTCGACTGCTGGGGGTCAGTGATTTAAGGCCACACGGATCTCGGAGAGGTCTGTAGAGGGTACACGACTTAACTTTTAATTCAGATTCCCTATCTGAAGCATTCGTCCTCTCACAATGGAGGCAGCTCACACAAAAACGACGGAGGAGGTCCTCAAGTACTTCGGTGTTGACGAAGAGGTTGGCTTGACCGACGAACAGATTAGGAGAGCAAAGGAGAAATATGGACCTAACGGTAAGATCTCTTGCTCGTTAAATCTCCTGCTTATATTTTGTAATTATTTCATTCATATTTTTGGTGATCAATAAGATTTCACTCAGTTGTCGTTGACTCTGAATTATCTGCACTAAGCTGGTAGCAGTCCATGTTAATTATGTGGTTAACTTTAGTACTAACCTTGGTAACACCGATGCATTACATTTGCTCATATTATATTGAAGTGTCATATGTAACTAATGCCTATGTATTTTCTTCATTGTAGAATTGCCTGCTGAAGAAGGTAATGCTATTTTGTTTTTTAAACTCTTTAATTTAACTGAAACAAAGGAATTAATGAAGTAATATATGATTCATTCTCGGATTTTGACAAAAAACTATTTCTGTCTCACTAACTCTCATGTACCAAATGGATGAACAACTGTAACAGATGTAAGTATATTTGCAATTAACAACTCTTAATTTATACAATTGAAGCTATGTGGTAATTCATGTTCTCTCTTCTTAGGAAAACCACTGTGGGAGCTCATTGTAGAACAGTTTGATGACCTCCTTGTAAAGATCCTGTTACTTGCAGCTGTAATTTCATTTGTAAGTATATGAAAGATTTGATGTTACAAGCAGAGAATGCTGTCACCATTTCTATCAGTATTGTATTTATAACATTATTTCTGTAAGGGATGGAGTTGATAAACCACCTATCTTCGTACCATCACAAATTCTACATGTATGATGCCATTTTTGTACTTTCGGTGAAGGTCAGACGGGGGAGTTAGCTTCCAGTGAGATGCTCTTGGCGGTGCTTCTTGATATGACTCCTGTGGAATGTATGCACTTTGAAAGTCTTCCTGATCCCTCAGACCACTGACCTTTCCTGTAATCTACATATTCATTTGACAACAGGCATTTCTTGAACAGAGATGCTTAATTTTGTCATCTTTTTTAATTCAGCTGCTGAGAAGGAATGGGCTCATGAATGCTGCATACCTTTTTCGAATATGCCATTTTTGTATGTTTCACACAAACATCATAGGTCATGGGATTGCTATTGGAATCATTATTTAAACTGTATTTTATGCTTTAAAACCCAATAAAAAAAGTATATAAACCAAACAAGTGCAGGGCTCACATCACTATTTGCTTTACTCTAAGAAAGACAAATAGTGATTGGGAGGGGATAAATTTTATTTAGTTTTGCATTTTCACAAAGTCCACAATCCAGTTAAAATAACTTTATATGCAATTTCTAATCCTTAGTCGTGTTTCCAGTCAGTTTAGATCTGCCTTACTCTGTATGATCTATCTCAGCAGGCACAATCATTATATGCTGTCTATGATGAGGTAATCGTAAACCTTGTTTCCTGCTTAGATGGGTCCTCCTCAGAGCAGCCAACCCAACTTGACTAGAAATCCACCTTGTTATGTGAATGGCCATGTTTTATCAGGGTTTGTAGTGGGAGAACTGAGGTGCACTTAGTACCCTTTTTGTAATGAAAGTAAAAAAGGAGACTTCTAATCAAAATAGACAAATTCATTTATTTTTAGACCTGACATCTTATCTGTTATATAGAATTGAAAGCATTACTGTCACATTGGTATGGGCATATATGCATAAAATCAATACTGTGGCCTTCATATCACTAGTTACATAAGGATAAAGACGGGCACTGATATGAGAATAATTTGCACCCATTATTGTGATATCTGTCTAAAGTGGTTAGGGTTACAGAGGCATCAGTCTTGACAGAGGAGTTGCATGCACCACAGGTTGACTTCATACTTTATATTGCATAAAATACAGTGAATGAGGGGAATCCAAACACCACCTTTATACTCTGTTTGTATTCCAGTATTGCTTCTTTTCTTGGCTGGGTTTTTTATGTACCCATGTTGTTGAAGTAAATTGAAACTGATTAACCTATTTCTGAATGACTGTATTATTTCTGGTCTGAAGTTGACTTTTTACTGAAGAAAATAACACATATCCTGAGACCACAATATCACAGCCACTTCGTGTAAACAGATTCTCTGCAAACATGTGCTAAGAATAACAGAAGCTGTTCATGTTTTCCTAGAATGGTGGCTTGATCATGGAGGTGTAATGTTAGCATGAAGGTTGCCAAGAAAAGCTTTGAATTTTATGTCATTGTTTTTTTTTTTTATGAAGGGGGACTTGATGTCAAATAATTTAAGGGAAAACGAATTAAAAAATCCTTTACATGAGGAACTGTGAGTGAGTTTGAGTATATTGATTTACCAACTGCGAACTGGACTATTTGTATCAGAGATTTTTGTCAGCTAAAGTGTTGAAAGAAGTAGGAAACCCATAGATTTAATTCACAAATCATGTGGGTTGGTAATATATTTGATGAGACAAAAGAGGATTCTATGATAAAGAGAAAAAAAAACTTTTTTCCAAAGCTTAATTAGTTGTACAAGATATGAAGGTATCAGGGTTGCCACGCTGGATGGGTGTATTGAATGTAGCTTAACATGACTGAGAGCTGTAGATATGGCCATTAAGTTTCAACTGACCAGTCAAACAGGTATATTGAGGAAACCCCAAAGTAATTTACTTATCTATTGGTCAGGTAATTGTGCTATCTTTTTCAAGTGATCAAATACACCATTAATTATAGTGGACAGAACCTATCTGCAGAACTTATGATCCTTGAACAGATAAGTAAATAGACAAAGTGTGCTCACTTGCGAAGTGAAGGTGCTTTCTGTATTTTTATTGTAAAAGGCTAACTAAATGCACTTAAGGGCTGGGAAGCATAAACATGATAATAGTTTGGGCTTTATATAGCTATATTCTAATTCTCTGCATGAGTAGCCTTTTTGGTGTGAATATATATTTTGCAGGCTTTTATATATATATATATATATATATATATATATATATATATATATTTTTATTTTTTTTTGCACATGCACGCTTCCATCATACAAGTCTTCATATAATGATTACAATATCTATGTAAAATTTTAGTGCATGGAGACACCTTCATCGATGTACGGTCTTGTTGCAGTACACAAGCAATGTTAATTTTTTTACTCCCCACAAGTCACTGCTGGTGAGCATGGAGTCTGTCATCTACAATAAGCTGTCAAGAGTTTGTTTGTAAAAAATACAGGGTATTTGCTCTCTTTTATCTCTCGATTTCTGTCAAGTAATAAAGGTCGAGAACTTGACATATTATTGAATAATGGTTGTTTAGCAATAAAACACTGTAGAAGAGTTGGAAGAAAATAACTTTTTTTCAAGTCAAAATCTTTCACAGAGTCCCTAATACATTTAAAAGGGTCCATTGAGTTCATTTTATATGAATATATGTTAAACTTAAAAATAAGGATTATGCATGTAAATGGTAGGGGATCTCTCCTGATTGCAACTGCTTACCATCCATGTGATTGAATTTGTGTTATTGGAAAGGTCAGTCATGTACCCTTTCCTTTGCCTTAGCAACTGTGGAACAAATTAAGCTTTTACCTGTTTTTACAGGTTATTGAATTGGAGTTGAGCTACATGCAAATGTAAGGAGGATATTTTGATGATAAGCTCCCTGGTTTAGTATTTCGAGTTGTTGATGATGTTAACTTACGTTTATCAAAATGTGATTTGATGAAGGGGATTTTTAAATCCACTTTGGAAAAGGTGACATCATAGGTGTGCTAAATGATTCACATATGATATCACTGCAGACATCGGCTGAAGATTGGACTTTAATTGGGAACTCTGAGAGCTTTAATGCAACCTAGGTGCAAAAAATATTTGGAACATCTTGGTAAATGATGACCATGTGTTAGGCTGCTCTCTACCGACCAGGTATTGACGTAGGATCCAGCAGAGACAAATAACTCCAGTTTAGATTGCAGCAACTTTAAATATTAGCTTAAAGGAACACGAAAGAGATCCAGGCTGAGGAAAGTTTGTTCTTAATAGACTCAAGTAGGAAATCTAATTCCTCCTCAAAAATTCTGGATTGTTGCACAGGTGCTTCTTTCTCGAAATTTTCTATTGAAGTTTGGTGGGATTAAGGGGGTTTGACCTCTTAGGTATTACTGTATGGGAATATTTTTTAAGTGTATTTGTACACTTATATTAATGAAGGCTAGAATGGGTGGATCCTGGGAGGCTATTTTTAATGGTTGTTCACAGGCTATAAATAGATTTGCACTGACGCAAATGTAGATGAAGAGATTGGCCTCTGACTCCAGTTTAATTGAGATTTCATTTTTAATGATGGAAAGTTGTAAACTGATAGGTGGTAAGTATAGTGACACCTTATCCCCCATCCTGTTGAAATATGGTCCTTTGTAATAAGGGCACCATCCAGACCTTGTTGACACATGGCTATCAGTGCATTGATCCAAGGTGATAACAGGACTTGGCCAAATAAGATACCTGCAGGAACTTTCCATCACACCAAGACTGGAAAATTATTATGCACTTTATTGCATATTTTGTCCATAGAAAATTGGTGCAAATTTAAATCTCTGGTAACAACTGAAGTCTGTGACAGGACACACGTATGTTAATTTTTATAGGAAACTTGTATAAGGAAAAGCATTTTAGCACCTTGCTAAAATACATCCATTTTACCTGTCATTTATACTGGTCTCTTCCTTGAGATGCCAGAATACACACCAAGTTTTACACAATCCAGATTATGCAAACAAAAACTGATGCAAATGCTGTTAAAACTGATGCTGGCAGCTGCAGGTTGAATCTTTATCAGCTGAGATAATCTGTTTTATCCAAAGAAAGTATTGCTCGATTTATATGAAACAATTACATATAAATCTTATTTTTAAAATAAAATAACTTTCCTGCACCATATGCCAAATTATTGTGGTGGCATAGTCAAAAGCAGATGCAGGTTGGTGAAGATGTTGTCATATGTAATGGCTAAATAATTTGTAGATCTAGTTCTAAGTTGGTCTGAACTCTGCAGCTCACCTAGGCCAGCATTCCTGGCAAACTATGCCCCAATCAGCCTGGTGTCAGATTTTAGTAGCAGAATGCCTTTTAAAAGACCCCAACAACTGAAGGTGGGATAATTTCAGAACTCGTAAGGTGTTATTTCATGGTCTTGAATCTCCACTGCCCCTATCATTACACCTTGTTGTCTTAGGTAATACTAAATACATGCACCCCAGACGCATTCAATTTCAGTTCATTTAAAAGCCGTCTACTACCAAAAATAGTAGTAAAAAGGCTAGCATCTTGGGTAGCTGGTCAGTTGGTTTCTGCACTCTTGACCATTGGTCTGCCACTTATAGATCCATTTTCTGAACTTGACTGTGGTCTCCTGATGTGATAATACAAATCTATATAGATAATTGCCATTAAAATCAGCCTTCTGCTTTGTTGGGTTAAAGATGATTTAAAGAATGGTAATTGACGTGCAGCATAACTTGCTGAATCTACTTTGAATGGCATCATTAATAATGTCACGTGTATGTAAATCTAATGCCTAATATCCTAAATGATGTATGAAAAAAGCATGTCCATCTTAGATTATATCCAAATACATTTACCATGGCGTGTTCATTGGCAGTATTTTGTGGACAGATCCACTTCTTTTTCATACAAACAGATTAAGTGTGTCACACAACCTATATCCCCAGGTTATTTCTTTCTTTCTGTGTAAAAAAAAATTACATGCAAAGTGGTCATTTCTGCCTCACTTCTTGATGGGAGGTATAATACCTTAATTAATGTATACATGGCGGATGGTAGCCAGTAGATGGTTTAACTGATATCCTTGGTAGTTGATTAAGGGGGAGAGATTCCGAGATGTGATTACATCTTTGAGTTTGCTTGCCTGTTCTGAGGAAGGGGGGGGGTAAGGTTTTTATGATAAAAATAGACATCAATAACATACTCCTGAGTTTGATAATTTGAATTTGCTGAAAGATGAAAAGTTGGTCTGAATGTTGGTAGTTTCCTCACTTCTCTTTATTTGTGGTTAACATATCTATAACTTGTTGTTGCAACCCTTGTTGTCAGTCAGCGCAGTCTGTCTGGGTTTGAAAGACCTGCCAGGTATTTCTACTAATATTCTGACCTTTTATCAGTTCATTTTGGCAGCGGGTAGAAAGCTTGCACACTCCATGCAAGCACATCTTGTCTAATTGCCCGTGATAATGTGAATGACCTGTACTTTTAAGTATGTGCATTGTTAAAAAGAAAAGAAAAGAATATGAATCGGATGCTGTCATGTTTGCTCGTGATGCAAAGGCTGAACACTGATTTCTGCAAACAAAAAGCTGGTCTTGGTGACCTGTTAATTCCAGTTTATGCCATCTGCAAATTTGTTAATCCTTTCAGCATTGTCAATAACAGAAAGTTATTATTAGGTCACTATGTACAGAACGAGTCTGATAACCTTTTACAGTAATGAAATATAGTCCCTTTATGTTTTCTATCTCTTTTCAATTTATACAATCTCCATCAGTTTTATTCAGATTGCATCCCCATTCAATTCATTTTAAATGTGCAGAAATCTCGACTGAAAGATTTAATTGTTGTTATTGACAAGGTTTGAAAAATAGCATTCTGTAACTTGATTTCTTTCTTTTTGCATCCTGTTCGTGAGTGCTATTGAAGCCTCATTGTGTACATCATTCAGGTAGTACATTAGGTGAAGGTCATCCAATTAGTTGATGGAAGCTGAGGCGTGTAACATTACACAGATAGCGAAATATGTGTTAGAGTAGCTAGATCTCTTAATGCTTGTATTACCTTGAATGGAAGGTACCCTGCAGAGAAAGTGACACAGGGTAGGATTGCAGAAGCTTGAGATGATTGGAGTGATGTTTGTTGGATTGTATAACTACAGTTTTCAAAGTAGTTTGGTTTAATTGGAAGGCCCAAGTCTTTTAAGTTTTTTTTTTTGTGTTTATTGGCTGGTGTCTTGTGGTTGTTAGTAAATATTTGTCAGCTTCTATTTCCTATCATTGTTTGCTTTAGTAAAGCAAAAAAAAAAAAAAAAGTTCCATATTTCATTTTTTGTCATGGTCTTACACACACTGATACTTTCTCATCTACACATAGGGTTATCACCTGATATACCCTTCACACTTTATTCTTATACACCGGTCACTGGCCACTTGTGTCATATTTCAAACACATCATGGTCAGTCAAACACATGGACAGTAGTATTGTCCTGACCACTTTACATAGTAATTTTCAGCAGTTAACTGACTATATGGTAGGTTGATGCAGATAATGTATATTATTCAAGTTATTTGTATAAATTTACCTTGAAGTTGATTTTTTTTTTTTTTTTTTTTTT